AGATAGATATTCATATATATAGATAGATATAGATATAGATATAGATATAGATAGATATGGAAATATATGAAAGAACAGAAAAGTGTGTTTTAATTCAAGCAAGGCTTCTGTTCTTAGAATCAGAAATCTATCAAGATATTAAAAATGAAGTGTTAATAATAGCTATAACTCAGAGAACAAAACTGAATAAACAAAATCTAAAGGCAATTTTTGTGCAATAAGTCTTCTTGCTTTCCATTCTAAAAATATGAATATAAGGAGGAGTATAAGACCACAACAAATAACTATTTTCTTATTATATCAATGGTTACATCTATTTTCTATTTTATTTTTGTCAATATGTCAAATCAACTATATGAAGAGATTTTGGTTCCTTAGGAGTTCCTCAGCTTATAGTTCCATTTCTAAAATCTTAAAAACATTCAAAGTAAATTTGTTTAGTAAACAAACGTCTCACCAAACTATGCTTCTATATTTAATAAACATGATAATTGTATTATGGTTACCAATGTACATATGGCACATTTTACATTCTTAAAATGGCAACTACATCAGTAAAGGGTGTCAGGAAAATAAAGCTGCATGTATTTCTATTCTAGGCAATGGTGACACACTATGGAAGGGAAAGTTGGACTTTGAAGAGGCTGGATAAGTAAGAGTTCTGAACTCCGTTTTAGAAAAGTTTCCTGAGGATACCGTGGATAACCATGAAAACAAATAAACTAGTCTACAGTTCTCACTTGAGGCACAAATGACTAGGCTGAAACAGTCCCATTTTGGAGACATTATGCTCCCTTGAGAAGTGCTGGGAAAAGTGGAAATAAAACAAAGAAGGGGCTATCCAGCAGCAAGGTGGACAGGTTCAATTTCAACAGCTATGAATGCACCATTGAAAGGTTTAAAAGGCCAGGCTGAGGACAGACCATCCTGGAGCTAACACATAGATAAAGTCGATACTGACTTGATAGCAATATTCAATCAATCAATCAGCCAAAAGGCCATTAGGAGACCAGAATTCAGTTCCTATTTAGTGATTTAGCAAATGAAATTAGCACTGTCCTTACTCCCCCGCCCCCGTGCCAAAAGACAGGTGACAAGATACAAACATTGACTGGCATTTGCCACTTAAAAAGAAAAGCCAGAGAACAGAAGCACACGACTGAGAGAAAACCATGACAAAAATACCTGGACATTTTCCTCTTGCATGCCACGCCACCTCTCAGAATGTGATTCCTATTTGTGATATGACTTTCAAAATCACCACAATACATTTCAGAAGGGGCCCCAAAAGGAAGACTTGGGCCCACCCCATCATCCCTTGAATATCTGCAAAACCACCCAGCCGAATCCTGTTTCAGACCCCTCCACGCTGATCGGTCCACCGATTCCGGAGAGCCCGAGGGCCCCCACTCCTTCCCTTCCTCTTCCGCTGGCTTTCTTTCATACCTGGATACCGACCAGGGAGAACAGCAAGATTCAACTGGAGGCTGCAGCCCAGGCAAAAGAGGAGAACAAAGAGGGCCGCGCAGGACGCCCCCCTTCTCTCAGCTGCAGTGTGGAGTGGCAGCCGCAGGTTCCAACTCTCCCAGTCGCCCACAGCCTGGAAGCCCTCTCCCTCTTGCCAGAAAGAGGGCCCTCTGGCTCAGCATCACAGAATGCTGCACCTCTGGAGATCACCTGGTCCAACCTGCGGCCAAGGGCGAGGCTCCACTACTACAGCATCTTCCAAAGATCCTCTCCTGCAGATCTTAACACCAGCACAGTAAAATCGCTGCAAACCATGGTAGTTCTTTCGGCGCAGCCATCGTGTAACCCTGTACCATGTGCATGTTGGGATAATCAAGACAGGATGTGACCAAAGGGTTACTTGGCCCTGCACCAGCCATGTTCACTTCAGTCCTTGTGGGGCACTTGGGAATTTTAAACAAGCTGCAATGCAAAATCAAGAGGGGCTTCTGAGGTCAGCAGACCTTGCGACTAGGCTGCTGAAAAACAGCTTGTGGTCACCTACCCCATTTTGATTCATGCCGCTCAAAAGCAAGAGGTTACCAAGCCTCCCTTGGAAGACTCCCGAGTCCCAGGCGATGCCAGAGGAGAGGCAGGCATCCTGATGCTGCCATCCATGTCCATTCCCAACTTGAAGAACGCGCGTGGAAGCACAAGCATTCACGCTCAGCAGCACAAAGCACCTTGCCTGCTGCGGAAGGAAGGAAGGAAGGAAGGAAGGAAGGAAGGAAGGAAGGAAGGAAGGAAGGAAGGAAGG